GGCCGTGTCGAACTGGCCACACCGTTTGGCATCAAACAATTTAAAAATTCTGAGCAGAGTTTCGAAAGTGTGGATTTCGCTTGAGAGTTCCTCCCGAAAGACAGTTTAAACGATTTCGAAACTTCCGGGCTCGATTTCGACATGCCGCCTTTGCCCCAGACTTCTTGTAAAACGCAATCTCGGCTGGATTTCGAATCAATCGGGTTCAAGTTCGAAAGAGCGTTTCCGCCACTTGGGCAAAACAGTGTTTGCACAGAACATTATTGGTACCCCGCGGCCTAACGGGCCCCTCTGACGTCTCCTCCTCTTATCGCGGGCGCAACGCCATTGACGGCGTCGTACCCGGGCCCCGTCGTCTTCCGGGAGGCGTTGCTTTTTGGCAGAGTTTTCGTAGCGGCGAAGTATGTATGTACACGAGAGTGGGCGGCTCGAGTGGTCTTACATTGTCCTAGGGTGCGTTGCTGAAGTGAGGCTCCGCGGTGCGTCATATGATCGTTATTGTTTTCGGCCCCGCCCAGCGACCTGCCCCGCCACCCACGTGCAACCCACCCGCGACTTGCCCCAGGGATCGCCCACGACTTGCTCCGCGACCCACCCAAGATTTACCCCACGACCCTCCCGCGATCAGCCGCGCGACACGCACGCGTTCCATCCGCGACCCGCCGCGCGATTCACCAGGCGACCCGCCAGCGACCCATCCGCAACCCACCCACCTTGTGTTAAAAACATTTGAGCTTGCGGCGGGCTCGTTGTATAAACATGCGGCGCCTGTGGCAGGCTTCCTTCTTAACATTAGCTTTCGAGACTCGCAAACTGCCAGCGACCTCCCTCCCGCTTATCCGCAATTCGTGGGTCCATGCTACTTGGTATGCGTGTGCTGTGTATACTTACTTGTACTTACGCACTGAGCACCTATATGCAACGAAAGCTGATCGGAGACAACTTCGGGCGCGGCCGGGGAGGCTGATTCGCGAGCGCCCCGGGAGGGCCCAAGATGGCCCGGGATGGCCCCAAGACGGACCCCGAGAGCCCCAGGAAGCTTCAGGAGGGCCCAGCGGCAAGTCCCGCCTCCACGCTGGCCCAGCATTCTGCATGGCGAGTGTTCGAGGATACACGAAAGGCCGTCATGCGATGTCATGCGTGACATCTCGTGTCAACAAGCGTGGGAGAGCCGCGATAAGGATGTTGAGGGAGATCGATGACGAGGACGAGGAGGAGGAGGAGGAGGAGTGAGATGACGAGGAAAAGGAAGGCCGTCACATGTGACACCTTAGTCTTCATGTTGTGAAGAGCTCTCATGGAGCTCAGTTGGCCCCGTCTTGGCGCTGTCTTGGGCGTCTGCAGGGTAGTCTAGGGGGTCCCTTGGGGCCGTGTTGGGCTCCTCTTGGGCCGTATTGAGGCCTTCTTCGGCCGTTTTGCTCGCGCCATGTTGAAGCCTTCTTGGTCGTATTGGGCGTGTCTTGGGACCGTCGTGGGGCCGTCTTGGGCCGTCGAAGGGTTGTAAGACCGTCTTGGATATCTCCGGAGGCCATCTTGGGCAGTTTTGGGGCTGTCTCGGAGGCCTCTTGAGCCATCATGGGTTCCTTTCGGGCAGTCTTGGGGTCCTCTTGGGGGCCTCTTGGGCTGTCCTAGGGCCAGCTTGGAAGTTCCTCGGGCCGTCACTGGCTGACAGAAGCAGGAAAGACACGAGCATGCGAACAACTAACCACACCCTGTTGGACAGTAGATGGACAATCTATTCGAACCCGTACACATTCGAGGGAGATTCTAAATCACCCCCGCGCCCCCGACATCAGTGTTGATCTCAGTGAAGGCGGCGCTTTGGGGGTCGAATATGTCTGTCCACTCACGCCCCCCCCCGTCGCCACGCCATCAATATTGATTTTGGGGGTCTGGGGGGCATCTTGGGCCACAGGATTCGAATACAATGTCCATGTGCGGGATCCTGGGCCGTCTGGAGGCCCTCTTGGGCCGCCCTTGGGGCCACCTTGGGCCGTCTCGGAGGCAGCTCGGGGTCTTCTCGGCGGCCTTCGCTCCTGCCCGGGTCGTCGTGGGGAAGGTCGGGAGCGCAGACCCACAGATGCTTTCACGAGGGACAGTGCTAAGTCGGGCCTGTCCCTCTACAGGGGGAACATTCAAAAATAGTTAAGAAATAGTCAGGGAACTTTTTTTGCGTATTTCCCAACCATTATGTGGTGTTGGGTCCTCGTTTTGAAGAGACGTTGCTCCGCGTTCCTCCTCCTCCTTCCTCCTCCTCCTCCCCTTCCACCCCCCTCCTCCCCCTCCCACACCCATTCTGGCACACCCCTCACACGTTTCGTGGCCCCATAGGGAGCTCCACCGAAGGCCCCAGTGGCTGCGCCCGCATGCGGTTCCACCCCCCATTCTGGCACACCCCTCACACGTTTCGTGGCCCCATAGGGAGCTCCACCGAAGGCCCCAGTGGCTGCGCCCGCATGCGGTTCCACCCCCCATTCTGGCACACCCCTCACACGTTTCGTGGCCCCATAGGGAGCTCCACCGAAGGCCCCAGTGGCTGCGCCCGCATGCGGTTCCACCCCCCATTCTGGCACACCCCTCACACGTTTCGTGGCCCCATAGGGAGCTCCACCGAAGGCCCCAGTGGCTGCGCCCGCATGCGGTTCCACCCCCCATTCTGGCACACCCCTCACACGTTTCGTGGCCCCATAGGGAGCTCCACCGAAGGCCCCAGTGGCTGCGCCCGCATGCGGTTCCACCCCCCATTCTGGCACACCCCTCACACGTTTCGTGGCCCCATAGGGAGCTCCACCGAAGGCCCCAGTGGCTGCGCCCGCATGCGGTTCCACCTCCCATTCTGGCACACCCCTCACACGTTTCGTGGCCCCATAGGGAGCTCCACCGAAGGCCCCAGTGGCTGCGCCCGCATGCGGTTCCACCCCCCATTCTGGCACACCCCTCACACGTTTCGTGGCCCCATAGGGAGCTCCACCGAAGGCCCCAGTGGCTGCGCCCGCATGCGGTTCCACCCCCCATTCTGGCACACCCCTCACACGTTTCGTGGCCCCATAGGGAGCTCCACCGAAGGCCCCAGTGGCTGCGCCCGCATGCGGTTCCACCCCCCATTCTGGCACACCCCTCACACGTTTCGTGGCCCCATAGGGAGCTCCACCGAAGGCCCCAGTGGCTGCGCCCGCATGCGGTTCCACCCCCCATTCTGGCACACCCCTCACACGTTTCGTGGCCCCATAGGGAGCTCCACCGAAGGCCCCAGTGGCTGCGCCCGCATGCGGTTCCACCCCCCATTCTGGCACACCCCTCACACGTTTCGTGGCCCCATAGGGAGCTCCACCGAAGGCCCCAGTGGCTGCGCCCGCATGCGGTTCCACCCCCCATTCTGGCACACCCCTCACACGTTTCGTGGCCCCATAGGGAGCTCCACCGAAGGCCCCAGTGGCAGGGTCCGCATGCCTCCCCACCACCCATTTCGGCACACCCTTCATACGTTTCGTGGCCCCATAAGGGGGCTCCATCGAAGGCCCCAGTGGCAGGGTCAGCATGCCTCCCCACCCCCCATTTCGGCACACCCCTCACACGTTTCGTGGCCCCATAGGGAGCTCCACCGAAGGCCCCAGTGGCTGCGCCCGCATGCGGTTCCATTCCCATTCTGGCACACCCCTCACACGTTTCGTGGCTCCATAGGGAACTCCACCGAAGGCCCCAGTGGCTGCGCTGGCATGCGGTTCCACACCCCATTCTGGCACACCCCTCGCGCGCTTCGTGGCCCCATATGGGGCTCCACCAAAGGTCCCAGTGGCACTGCCCGCTTGCGTCCGCCACCACCCAGCACAGCCCTTGTTCCCTGCGCTTCGCTCACCCAGAACAGCGCTTCGTAGCCTTATAGGGAGCTCCACCAAAGGTACCAGCGGCACCGCCCGCATGCGTCCGCCACCACCCTGCGCAGCCCTTGCTCCCTGCATGCGTTTCACCCACCCAGTACAGCGTTTCGTGGCCCCATAGGGAGCTCCACCGAAGGTCCCAGTGGCACCGCTCGCATGCGTCCGCCACCACGCAGCACAGCCCTTGCTGACCGCGTCTCACCCACCCAGTACAGCGTTTCGTGGCCCCATAGGGAGCTCCACCGAAGGTCCCAGTGGCACCGCCCGCATGCGTCCGCCACCACCCAGCACAATTGCGGCATTCACAACTGCATATGGTTGGGCACTTCGATTTGGGAGTATTTTGGGGGTATTGTTTGGTTTTTCGTCCAAAACCCCCCTGCAGGGGGACACGCCCGACTTAAGGATAGTAGCCTCGGGAGCGCGGACATTTTTTATTACGAGAGATCACTGCCTCGGGAGGAGGGGAGGTTCCCGCGGCCAGCAAAATCCCGGCGCAGACCTTGCCAGGCAACCCTCGGCACTCGATATGACGCCTCAGCGTGCCAGGGGGCGCGGTGACAGCTAGAGAGAAAAAGAGAGGTGCCCCAGCAAAATCAGATGAAACAGGCGCTCCGACCCCTCGCGGACCCCCCCCGTCTGGGCCCAGGACCCCGTGGGGCGGCAGGGGAAGGGGCTCGCCCTTCCCCGAGCGGGGGAGGAGTGGCTGAGGGCCGCCATCCCCCGAGCACGGGGCCGTTGGGGCCGCGGCGGGGACATCGGACGAGGAGAGCTCCGCTTGTGCGGGCGAGACTCTGGGGCGCTCTCGCGGCGTTCCGTGCTGTCTGCCTCCCAGGCACGCCAGTGGACCAGCCTCCACCAGGGGACCTGCTCGTCACGCGCCCGGGGGTCTACCCTCGGCTTCGACGCCCCTCTTCGCTCCTCCTCCTGCTCCTGCTCCTGCTCCTGCTCCTGCTGCTCCTGCTCCTGCTGCTCCTCCTCCTCCTCCTCCTCCTCCTCCTCCTCCTCCTCCTCCTATTCCTCCTCCTCCTCCTCCTCCTCCTCCTCCTCCTCCTCCTCCTCCTCCTCCTCCTCCTCCTCCTCCTCCTCCTCCTCCTCCTCCTCCTCCCCCCCCGCTGGGAGGACATCGCCCCGGTCCTCCCGGACTCGGGCCTGTTCCTCGCGGCCAGGCGGAGCGCGCGCCCGAGCCTCGCGGAGCGCGGGGCACGGCCCCAGACCCCCTTCGCGCTGCGAAGGAATCACGACGGGAGGCGTTTCGCTATTTTCGGCCTCGGGGTTAATCATGAGGGGAAGAAGCACACTGACACAATTTATCGTCGATTTCCCAGAAAGTATGGGAAAATATGGGAAGTGGGGGCGAAGACGAAAACCTAAAAAATATATGAACATATGGGTAATATGTTTTGGTGTGTATTTATTTGTGTGTCCTTGGGCCCGTTCAGTTAAGTCGGGCCTGTCTCTCTATTGGAGGAATACTCAAAAAAAGTTTAAAAATAGTCTGGAAACGATGTTTGGTATTATCCTTGACCATTTTGGGTTATGTTTTGACAGTTCTTTCTTTTTCATTCAAAATCCGCCTGTGGGGGGACATGCCCGACCTAACCTCAGGGGCCTTATTGGGCCTCGGGTCCATCAGAAAACGACTCAGGACGAGAAACCGGTCTCATGGAAGGGGTCCAGATTTCTGGGGGTCGACGTTGTGAAAGAATCACGGCGTCGTGGGTTTGGGGTTACTTCGGGGGACGGGAGGGTGTCCCATATCAGTCGCAGACATGGATGAGGGGGCGTGGATTAGCGACGGGCCGCGTTTCCCTGGGAAATCGCGGATGTCCGCCGCCGAGCGAGGCGGCACTGGCCGCATTTTGGGGTGGGCCCCTCCCCTGATCCAGTGATTTGGCGACCGCGCGCCAGATCCATGGATCGCAAATCCATGTTTGCGCGCCCCCGATCATAGCCAGTGTTGCCCGACGTCTTGGGGGGCATTTCCTCAGATCCCCCCGGCCCGCGGCGCTGCTTTGGCCGCTCGTTCGCAACGTGGACCCCTGGAGGTCCGGACCCCTCCTGGGGACCGCCTGTTCGTCTCGGGTCGCCGTTTCACGGCCCCGTGGCCCTGTAGCGGTTACCGCAGGCTGTACAGTCAACGCGCCCAGTAAGCACGCGCGCCTTCATCTAGGGTGCCCTTGTGTCCTTGCCGCTGCGGCCCGTGCTTGGCCGTTTCCATTTGTCGCCCGCCGCCCAAAGAATCACAACTTCGGCATCCAAGGGTCTTGCCTCCTTACCACCCGTCCTTAATACACGTTTTCACTGTACATTCAGGACAACAGTCCCGCCGTATCTGTTATCACGACGCGGAGAGGGGGTGGGTTTCTGGATGCGGATATCCGCAGAACGCATCTCAACACCATCACCATACCTGGCCAGGGCTATTTGTTGTGTCCCGACGTCGCCGGTACATCGGCGATTCGTCTGCGATGCGGTGCGATCCTCCGACCCCATCTGTGAATCCTTCAGCAGGGCTCAGGATTGGCCTGACCAGGCATGGTGGTCCATGGGGTACCTCCAGTATCCCTGGCCCAAGGTGTCCCCAGGATTTTTCGGGAGGCCTAGATGGCCTCCAGGGCACCCCTCACGAGGCCCAGACGGCCCGAGAGGCGGAAGTATTTCGAAAAGCTGGTGGCACCTTGGGCCAGGGACACCTGAACCCGCCGGGCCGAGTGGTGGTGCACATGCCCACGCATCCGACATCTGTTTTTTTCAACGTGGGCCCCCAGCGGTCTGGACCCGTTCCCCTAGTCCGGTCATTCATCCCGGGTATGTCGTAGTCTGGCAGCGCCGGGGCCCCAGAAGGGCCACCAGAAGGCAACAACTCCCACCAAGCTTCTTGGCATCGCTCGGACGTGTGCATTTTTCCTTCGGCGAGGACCATCGAGGAGCATCCTTGATCATTTGGCGAAAAAGCCACGCACGAAACCGAAAAACACAGGGAATGGACGTCCGGGCGATGGCCAGGCTTCCACTGTTTATCTTTTGCTTCGCGGCGAGAGGATGTCGAGGGGTGGCTCCTGCGCGCGTGGGATTCTATCTCTCGGCGGCACGCCGAGGGGGGAATCGGGACAGGGGGCGGGCCTCCTCAGGGGGCGGCGGGGCTGCTCAGAAGCCCCATGGCCAGGAGGAGGAGGAGAAGGAGGAGGAGGAGGAGGAGGAGGAGGAGGAGAAGGAGAGAGGAGGGGGAGCAGGAGAAGGAGGAGGAGGAGGAGGGAGGAGGAGGAGGAGAGGACGAGGACGAGGACGGGGAGGAGGAGAGGAGGAGGAGGAGGAGGAGGAGGAGGAGGAGGAGGGAGGAGGAGGAGACGCCCTCCGCGTCTCCGGAGGAGGCCTCGAAAGCTCCCTCGGAAGACCCGGAGGCCCTCCGAGCCTCCGCTGCAGGCCCCTCCCCCGGGCGGCGCCGCGGGGGGCCCCCGCCCGGGCCAGGCTGTGCCTGCTGACGCGCGAGTTCGGGACCCCGCACGGCTCCGCGCTGGTGCCCGTGGTGGACCTGCGCCCGGCCCCAGGGGGCCCGGCCTCGCCCGCTGCAGCGGCCCCGCTCCGCCGCCTCGCCGAGCATCCTCTATGGGGGAGGGGGCGGGGGAGGAGGAAGGGAGGGGAAGGGGGGGGGGAGGAGGAAGGGAGGGGAAGGGAGGAGGAAGGGAGGAGGAAGGGAGGAGGAAGGGAGGAGGAAGGGAGGAGGATAGGAGGAAGGGAGGAGGAAGGGGGGGGGGACGGGGAGGGGGCAAGCTGGGTGAGATCTGACGTCCTAGCCATCTCTCCCATCCCTTACCATGGCGTAGATTTTTTATCTATTCGCGCAGTCGGCTGTCGTAGCACGGCGTGGCAAGTCCGCCGACCCCTTGGGATTCATTGGCGTGTGAGGTGTGTCACCCTCCCCAAACCCCTCCCCTGGGAGCCCAGTCCAGTCGATTTGGAGGGGGGGGGTCTCCCTGGAGGTGGCTGAACGCGCCCGGGGGGGCAGAGGGCTTCAAAACAGGTCAAGAGGGCCCCAAGAGGCCCTTGGGGCGGTCCACGAGGGCCGCGGATCGCCGAAAGATCGATCCCAAACGCCCATGCTGGCCCCCTAAAGCCCAAGAGGCCCGCAAGACGCCCCAAGAAGCCCCCGAGAGGCGCCCTAAGAGGGCCTCCAGAAACACACATCGTTTGTTTCTTTTGGCAAAACGTGATTAGTTTGTACACTCGCCTCTTGTGCGTTCACAACGTCCCAGACGGCCCGAGACCCCGTCAAGATCGCCCCAAGACGGGCCAAGATACCCCCAAGAGGGCTCCAAGACGACCCAAGAGGGCCCCAAGACGGCTCCCCAAGACGTCCCAGGAGGGCTCCAAGACAGCCCCAAGAGGAGGCCCAGAGGGGGAACCCGAACAGACATTTCGAGTCATCCACCCCAAGACGGCTCCTGGTTGCCACAAGGAGCCCCCAACAGGCCTCCAGGTGTCTCCGAAGTGGCCGCAACAAGCCCCCAAGAGGCCCCCAAGAGGTTTAAAAACTGCCTCCAAGACGCTTCCGAGACACCTCCCACCAGACCCCATCAGCCATCTGAGTGGCCTAAGACCCGCAACCCAGGCACGGTGGCGGGATGTACCAAAGGCCATTCGATCCGCCGTCCCCTGTCGATTCCTCGCAGGGGTGCCTGGCGTGCTGAATCCTCTCGGTTTTGGTTTTGGTTCTTTTTCCAAAAGAACTCCCCCTGGGGCTCCGGCACGTCCCGCCGGCCACCCGGAAAGGCGCTCAATCCAGAAACAAATCCTCCAAGATGGCTCAAGAAACGGCCGTTTCGCTCGGGACATCCTCAACAAATCGCGAAGATGGCCCAAGATGGCCTCCAAGTCCGCCCAAGATGGTCCAAGACGGCCTCCAAGTCTGCCCAAGAGAGTCGAAGATGGCCCAAGACGGCCCAAGAGGCCCCCCAGAGGCCTCCCAGACGGCCCAAGAGGCCTCCAAGAGGTTCTCCAGGAGGGCCCGAAGAGGCAGACATCATTGATTTTCCTGAGGTTTTTGAAGGATTTTGGACTTTGCTTCTTCTCGGCATTCCGACGGCTCAAGACGGCCCAAGAGGCCCCCAAGATCGCCCAAGAGGCCCCCAAGAGGGCCCCATGCCGGCCCAAGTGGCCTCCAAGTTGGCCCCAAAAAGGCCCCAAGACGGCCCAAGAGGCCTCCAACACGCCAAAGATGGCCTCCAAGACGCCCAAGATGGCCTCCAAGACGGCCCCGAAGCGCCTCAAGAGGGTCCTCCGTTGGCCCAGAAAGGCCCCCAAGACGGCTCCCGACGGCGTCAGACGTGCCAGGAACCCACCAAGATGGCCGAAGTTGGCTCGAAGCTGGCCCAAGACGGCCCAAGAGGCCCCCAAGAGGGCCTCCACGAAGGAGGGAAAAGGCCAAAAACCTTGATTGTCCCTAGGTTTCCGAAGGATTTTTACATTTCCTTCTTTTCGGCCTTCCGACGGCCCGAGACGGCCCAAGAGCCCCCAAAGATCGCCGAAAGATCGCCCACGAGGCCTCCAAGACGGCCAAGATGACCTTCAAGATGCCCACGTGTTCCCCGAAGGCTTTCCAAACCGATTCGGGGAACACATGGTCCGATGGCTTGGCAGGTATGGCCTCAACGTTCGGCCACATAGGCGCTTCCAAAAAGGCAGGGGGCGGCGGTAATTCGCCGTAGGCGTCTTCGATAATCGTTCGTCGGGTGTTTTGACAGATGCCCTCCGTCTGTATACGTGGCTCCCCGCCTGTGTCCCCAAGCTTGCCCGTTGCCCTGTGACGTGCCCAACCCACTTGCATCAAGTGAAAATAGGAGCTGGCTCAAACTTGCCAGAACAATGACAGTGCAGGCGCCGTTATATATTGTGCAAGCTACATGGGACGCGCTCACGTGGCACGATTCCCAAGACAACAACATAAGGCGAAGGAGCGAGGGCCCAGGCTTGAGGAGGACATGGGGGCGGGAGCGAAGGGCAGGAGAATGACGCGTGGGAGGCCGAACCGTCAGCGCGGCAGCAGCAGAGGGAAGGCGGCAGGGGGCAGAGGACCACGACGATAGTGACGGGAGGAGACCGAAGAGTGTTGCTTCTGTCGGTCGTGTGCTAAAGATGCAGTGCTGCCTGCGCCATGTCGCCGCGGCGCTCGACCAAAATAGTAAAACTGTTCCTACTTAGTGCAAGAACCGCGCAGGCGCCGCGGCGGCAGCGCGTGCCAGAATTCCTCCCCTGGTTCCTCCTCCTCATCCTCCTCCACCTCGTTTCCCCCTTCCTCTTCCGCCTCCTCCTCCTCCTCCTTCTCCTCCTCCGCCGTTCCTCCTCCGCCGCTCGTGGACCCCTCGAAGTGGCGAGGTCTCATGTTGTGGCCCCCCAGCAGCCCTCGAAAGCGGGGGCAATTTCGCAGCTCGCAGCCCCACAGGGAGGCGAGTTCTCCCGGTGGTCCGCGTGAGACGTCGCTCCGCTGGATTCCCAAGCAGCCCTCGAAAAAAGGTGGCAGTTTCGCAGATGGCAGCCCCACAGGGATGGCGAGTTCTCCTGGTGGTTTGGGTGATGCGTCATTCCGCTGAACCCCCCAGCAGCCTTCGAAAGTGGCGACGGCTTCGCATATGGCAAGCCCACAAGGATGGCGAGGTCTTCCGGTGGTCCGCGTAAGACGCCACCCCGTTGCACCCCCCAACAGCAGTCGAACGTGGCGACAGTTTCGCTGATCGCAGCCCCACAGGGATGGCGAGGTCCCCTGGTGGTCTGCGTAAGACGTAACTCCGTTAGACCATCCATCAGGTCCATCAGCCCTCGCAAGTGGCGGCGACTTCGCGGATCGCAGCCACACAGGGATGGCCAGGTTTCCTGGTGGTCTGCGTACGACGCTATTGTATTCCGCTGCACCCCCCAGCAACCCTCGAAAGTGGCGGCGACTTCGCAGATCGCAGCCCCACAGGGATGGCGAGGTCGCCTGGTGGTCTGGGTAAGACGTAATTACGCTGAACCTCCCAATGGCCAGAGAAAGTGGCGATAACTTCGCAGATCGCAACCCAACAGGGATGGCGAGGTCTCCTGGTGGTCTGGGTAAGGCGCCACTGCGCCGGACCCCCAAGCAGCCCTCGAAAGTGGCGACGGTTTCGCAGATCGCATCCCCACAGGGATGGCGAATTCTCCTTGTGGTTTGGGTAATACGTCACTCCGCTGCACCACTCGGCAGCCCTCGAAAGTGGCGACGGTTTGCAGATCGGAGCCCCACAGGGATGGCGAGTTCTCCTGGTGGTTTGGGTAATACGTCGCTCCGCTGCACCACTCGGCAGCCCTCGAAAGTTGCTACAGTTACGCAGATCGCAGCCCCACAGGGATGGCAAGTTCTCCTGGTGGTGTGCGTAAGACGTCACTCCGCTGGACTCCCACAGCAGCCCTCGAAAGTGGCGACAGTTTCGGCGAAGTCTCCTGGTGGCCCGTGTAAGACGTCATTCCGCTGGACCCCCCAGCAGCCCCCCAAAAGTGGCGACATATTCGCATATGGCAGGCCCGCAGGGACGGCGAGGTCTCCTGGTGGTCTGGGTAAGACGTCACTGCGCTGCACCCCCCAGCAACCCTCGAAAGCGGCGACAGTTTTGCAGATCGCAGCCCCCAAGGGCTGGCCAGGCCTCATTTGAGTCTGGGTAGGGCGTCGCTGCGCTGGACCCCCCAGCAGCCCTCGAAAGTGGTTACGCTTTCGCAGATCGCAGCCCCCAGATATGGCCAGGTAGGAGGCAAGCTGGCACGCATGAAGGCGCGAGGTGACTGGCAGGAGGGAAGAGGGGAGGAGGGGGGCGTGAGAAGGAGAAAACGAGCGGAGGGTTGGGAAAAAAACTACCTCCAAGACGCCTCCGAAACGCCTCTCATGAGACCCCATCAGCCATTCGAGTGGCCTCAGACCCGCAACCCGAGCACGGAGGCGGGATGTGCCGAAGGCCATTCGATAATCATTCGTCGGATGTTTTGACAGGTGCCCTCCGTCTGTATACGCGGGTTCTTGCCCCATTCTCCATGAGTGAGCGGCGAAGATTGAGAAGGTCAGCCCAAGAGGCCCGGAAAAGGCCCCCTATGAAGCCCCCCAAAAGCTCCAAGAAGCCCAACAAGGCGCACAAGAGGCCCTCAGGAGCAACGCACAACAACCGCAAGTTCCCCAAGGGGTCGGCGGTGTGGCGTAAGCCCAGGGATCGGATATCGCAGCATGGCATAGCATTACATGGCACAGCATGGCGTTGAACATCGACGCGTAGCATGACATAGCATGGCGTGGCGCACGCCCCATGCGGCCAAACAAATCAACGAATCGGCACCGAATGTGGAATCACTTCCGATGTTTTTTTCCCAGGGGGTATTCTTTAGATTTTGGGGCCTATTTGGAACGACTGGGAACCATGTCGTGGCATGGCGCTGGAAATAATGACGCCAGTGCTTCAGCGGGAGCACGATTCGGAACGAGCGGAAGCGCGGAACTGAGGCCTGGTCTGCAACAGGAGTGCGATTCTGAACGAGCGGAAGCGCGGAAATGAGACTAGCGCTGCAGCGGAAGCACGATGCGGAATGAGCAGAAGCTCGCAAATGAGGCCAGCGCTTCAGCGTGAGCAACATGTTGACGAAAGCCAAGCGAAAACCCAGTTCCTGGGAATCCTGTGTGTAGAAAACAATGCGCGGAGGGGGGGCAGATATCTTCTGGACGTCATCAGGAGAGTAGTATTCATATGGTGTAACTGTGGAGGACGAGGGGAGGGAAGGAAGGGGGGGGGGAGGGGATGAAGGGGAGGAAGGGGGGGAGGGCAGGGGGAGGGATCATTGACCAAACTGCCATACTTCCAGGCATGCGAGTGGGCCGCCACTGGACAGTACCTCCGGAGGGTCGTGGCTAAGCCAGATCCAGCCCAGTGGGATTCTATGCGACGCCACTGAGATATTTTTAGGGCTGGGCTCAAGCACAGTAGGACTCGATTGGAGCTTCATCAAACCCTAGAAGGATTCTCGAGAGCTGGATCAAACCTAGGTAATATTACAATAACGCTCGAGCAGGCCTTCGTAGGACCCCATGAGAGCTGGATCCAATAAAGCTGCACCGCGCCCGAATAGGATTCGTATTAAGCTAGATCGAGCTTTTGAAGGATTTTATTTCGGCTTCATCGAACCCTCATAGGGTTGTATTAGAACTGGATCCAGTCCCGGCAACAGGATTCTTGAATCGCTTCGCTCATTCCGCCGGCCCATTTTCGCGCACTGGGAGGCGGTGCACAGGAAGCTCTTGGGAGTTCTCCGAGGCGTTCGGGGACGTCTTAACCTGGAGCCTTTTTGGGGCTCTTGGGGGCCTCTTGAGGCCTCTTAGGGACCTCTGGGGTCCTCCTGGAGGCTGCTTATGGCCGAGGGCTCGAAATGTTGTTTCGTGTTCCCCCTCTGGGGCCTCTCTTTGGGCGTTCTTGGGGCCGTCTTGGAGTCGTTTTGGGCGGTCCTGGAGCCCTCTTGGGCCGTCTTGGGGCTCTCTTGGGGCCCTCTTGGACCCTCGTGGGGCGATCTTGGGGAACTCTTGGGCCGTCTTGAGGGGTCGGGAAGCCGAAAAGGGGGAAACGCCCAAATCTGTTGAATAAAGCCTGAGGGAAATCTATGAATTTTACCTCTTGGGGCCCTCTTGGGAGTGCTTTTGGAAGCCTCTTGGGGCGTCTGGGGGCAATCTTGGGCATCGTGGAGAGATCTTGTGGCAGCTCGGAGCCCTCGTGTTCTATCTTGGGGGCCTCTCGGGGGCCTCTTGGCCCGTCTTGGGGCTTTCTGGAGGGCCTCGAGGGCGGCGCCCACCCGACCCGACCCGGCCAGGGATCTCTGACCCGAACCGGATCCAGTCCTGGTAACAGGATTCTATCATAGCTTTGTCGTGCCTCCGTAGGATCCGCCTAGACCTGGGCCTGGCCCCCTACGAATGTCATCAGGGCCAGATCCTGCCCCAGTAGGATTTTATGAGCGGTGGAACGAAGTCTAATAAGATTTCTATACCGGGGCTGGACAGAACCCCCATCAGTGACACGTCGATTAGTGAATTGTCCGTTTTCGGTTCTCGAGAGGGCGCCGTGGCCGTTATTTTCCAGGCTCGCGCCCGCCAGGTTTGGGCCTCAGGTCGCTTTCACTAAACCACGTTGTGCTAAAGGGAGGTCTGTCCATCCCCGATTTTAGGAGAGGTGGAACGAAGTCGAGTAGGATTTCTTCAGAGCTGGATCGAGACTTCAGGGCATTCCATCAGAGCCAGCACCTGGCGCGGGCGCTGGCGACAGGTGCGCCGCCGCCGCCGCCGACGTTGTCGCCGTCGTCGGCGTCGTCGCGGGCGTCGTCGTCGTCCTCGTCGTCTTCGGCGTGGTCGTCGTCCGTCGTGGTCGTGGTCGTGGTCGTCGGCGTCGGCGTCGGCGTCGGCGTCGGCGTCGGCGTCGGCGTCGGCGTCGTCCTCGTCGTCGTCCTCCTTGTCGTCCGTCGTCGTCGGCGTCGGCGTCGTCCTCGTCGTCGTCGTCCTGGTCGTCGTCGTCGTCGTCGTCGTCGTCGTCCTCATCCTCGTCCTCGTCGTCGCCGTCGTCGTCGTCGCCGTCGTCATCGTAGGCGTCGCCCGCCGTCTGTCGTCCGTCGTCGTCGTCGTCGTCGTCGTCGTCGTCGTCGTCGTCGTCGTCATCGTCGCTGCCCAGGGGGTGGGGTTCTGGATCCCTCGAGTAATTTCCCCTTGGGCGGAGGGGGGGGGGTCGCGACCTCTCTGAGTAATGTTCAGGGGGGGGAGGGGGGGAGGGGGCCGAACAGTTTTCCAGAGGAGCGGGGGGGGACCAGCCCTCCTGTTTCTTTGCGGGGGGGGGAGGTTAGGGTGGGGAGGGCCCCTCTTTGGTTTTTGACACCCCTTTTTCACGATTGTTTTCAAAAGGGGTGGAGCGGGTCCGTCTTTCTGACTCCCCTTTATCGAGTTCTTTCAGGCCTGCGACGCTGGATCGCGCTCCCTCCTCAGGATATGTGTGTGTGTGTGTGTGTTTGCATGGAGCGTTCATACGAATAGCTGCTGCGCGTGGAAAAGGGGGTAGATACGTCTAGGTCAATGTGTTGTCCCTGTTTTGTGCTCGGCTATTGCTAGTAAGTGTCGGGGCCGCCGGTTTGCTTTTCTTTTTGCTGCAGCGTCCCTGTTCGCCTGATGTCGATGTTCCTCTGTTGCACGTTTGCCCTGTCTAATTCGCCGCGTGAGTAGAACAGTGGATTTCGAATAGATCCGATCAATCACTGAACCATGTGTTTGTCGGATGTGGCCATCCTCCTGCTCCGTCGTACCGGTCCACCACCTTTCCGTCCCCTCCTCCTCCTCCTCCTCCTCCTCCTCCTCCTGCTCGTCCTCGTCTTGTTCCTCCTCCTCCTGCTCCTCCTATGCCTCGGCCTTTTCCTCCTTGTCCTCCTCCTTCTCGTGTTCCTCTTCCTCCTCCCGTTCCCCTTCATCCCTCCTCCGCGTCCTCCTTTTTCTCCTCCACCGCCCTCCCTCATCCGCCCCCTCTCCCTCTTCCTCCCCCTCCGTCCCTCTGTTCCCTTTTCCCCGCTCGCTCCATTCCTCCCCCTTCCCCCCCCTCGCCCGCCGTTGTCCCGATCGCCCGACTTTGGAGAGTCGTGGCCAGAGGTGAAGTTCGGGCGGCTGGCGAGGGGGCGGCAGAAGGCGGCAGCCGAGGTGCAACCACTCCTCCGAGCCCGGCGTGCACCAGCGCTGGGATACTTGAGCCGCCCGGGCACTTCCGCTGTCCCCGGGCTGCACATCGGAGGAGCAGGATATGGAGGAGGAGGAGGCGGAGGAGGAGGAGGAGGGGGAAGAGGAGGACATCGTGGGAGAGGAGGATGGCAATCATGGATGTGATGGCGGGAGGGGGATCAGTGGTCAAGGAGGAGGAGGAGGAGGAGGAGGAGGAGGAGGAGAAAAGGAGGAGGAGGAGGAGGAGGAGGAGGAGGAGGAGGAGGAGGAGGAGGAGTGCATCGAGGACTGAGGATGATGAGGATCTCGGGCGAGGATGAGGAGGAGAAGGAGGAGGAGGAGGAGGAGGAGGAGGAGGGGAATCGATCATCCAGAGGACGCAGAAGTGGGGACTTGGAAGTGGAGGCACGGGAGGCGGAACGAGGATCGAACACCGAGCTCTTTTTGCCGTCTGGTGCAGCTTGTATTGCTTCTAAGGGTCCCTGGAGACCTCCGCGGAGGACCTCTGGGGACCACCGGAGGGCTCCGGGCCACTTCCAGGAGGGGGGCGAGGCGCAGGATCAGGAGGAGCAACATGAGGAGGATGAGGAGGGCTGGCAGGAGGCGCGGGCGCGGGAGTCAACCCGTCCACTCCTAGCGTCCTTCTCTTCGCACAAGGACCAAGATCGGCGCGCGCACTCAAGATCACGGAGCCAGGACCACTCGGGGCTCAGGCGGGGCTCTGGTGGTCAGGCCGTTCCTTACAGCTTCAGGGCAGGGAACCTACTCGTGGCCGAGGCTCGAAGCGTCCAGACCTGGCCCATCGTCCCTCATTCAGCGCTCCTCGTGTAGCAACAGGTCGGGCCTGTCCCTCTACAGGAGGAACATTCAAAAATAGGCAAACAATAGTCTGGGCACGATTTTCTTCTACTTTGACTATGCTTTCACTTTTTATATTTTTTCGTCCGCAATCCGCCTGTCGGAGGACGCCCGACCTGAGCGTATCACGATGACTGCCTGGACGTCTGGCTGGCGTGTGCGGCCCCAGCAGCGTGGACCAGCCCACCGAGCTGCCGGCTGGCCTCTCGGGGCTGCTGCCCGAGGCCGTGCGTGCCCCTCCCCCCTGGGCAAGTCTTGCCCATCGGCGGAGGAGGAGGGTCTGGCTCCACGGAGCTCTGCCCATCTCCTCCCCATCCCCCTCCCTCCTCCTCCTCCTCCTCCTCCTCCTCCTCCTCCTCCTCCTCCTCCTCCTCCTCCTCCTCCTCCTCCTCCTCCTCCTCCTCCTCCTCCTCCTCCTCCTCCTCCTCCTCCTCCTCCTCTCCCCCTCCTCCTCCTCCCTCCTCCTCCCTCCTCCTCCTCCTCCCTCCTCCTCCTCCTCCTCCTCCTCCTCCTCCTCCTCCTCCTCCTCCTCCTCCTCCTCCTCCTCCTCCTCCTCCTCCTCCTCCTCCTCCCTTCTCCCTCCTGCCTCGCTCTGCCGTCGGCGGCGTCGCACTGCAGCGCGGCGCCCCTCCCGCGAGGAGGTCGCGTGCACGGCGTGCGGTCGAAAGCGCAAGCGGGAGGCCCCGCCTGTGGCCTCCGCTTCCGCTGTCGCCTGTGGGATCACTTGGGGGAGAAGCTCGACATACATTGAGGAATGAAAAAACGACCCTACCCTGGGTTACAAGTGCGTATTCTGTAAACCTCCTGGGAACCCCCAAAGCCTAGAGCCGCCAGGACGCGGCACATCACGCAGGGCTTACCCTGTCAGCGCACAGGAGTTTCAGCGCACAGCGCCTCGTAAACCAGGGTAGGGGCGTTTTTTCTGCCCTTGAGTACAGGAGGCTGGTCTTACCTCTGGTCCGCGCTGGCCGTTGATATCCGTTGGCCCGTCCCGTCACGGGGGCGGTACGCGCCTTCGTTTGCTGCGACCCGCTGACACGGCTGCCTCTCGGCAGGGCTTGGCGCTGATGCCGCGCATCTCTTTCTGTGCGGGGCCCAGCGCCCCGGGCGGAACAGATCGACGACGCAGATCGAGAAGCACTTTCCCGATGCTGCTGGCCGCCGCGAAATGCGTGCAGCTTGACGCAGCCTGCCCGAAAAATCTTCGAAGCGGCATGGCCCGATACAGCTTCCACAGAAGAGCCAGCAGAGCGCCCCAGCTCCTCCCGCCGTCCCCTCGGGGAGGAGCTCGCCCCGTCCTGTCCAGCCCCTTCCCTGGGGACGCTTCGCGCGCTCGCTCTCTCTCGCCCCCGAGGGCGCCACCAGGCGGGCCGCCCCCTGCGCGCGGGCGAACGACACCGCGCTCGCGCGCGCGCTCGACTCCCGAGGAGGCGCGCCCCGAGCCGCAATAGGGGGCCACGTGCGACCCCCCCCCCTCCCCCTTCGAAATCGTGGGGGGCAGGGGTAGGGTTCGCACGTGGCCCCCTGCGCGTACGCGAGCAAGCGCCCCCGCCCTCCTCCCGGGCGGGGCGCCGCGGCGCCCCCCCCCCCCCCCCCGCGCGGCGCGGCGCGAGCGTGGCGGCCGCGCCTCGGCAGGCCGTCGCGCCGCCGGGGGCGTGCGCGGGCCCCTCTGGAGGAGCCTGCCGGCTCGGCAGGCCCGTGGCCCCAGACGTGAGATCGCGCCGTGACAACATCAGGACTTCACGGGCGAAGAACGGTATAAAATACACTTCTTCGCCGTCGGGGACACCTGCCCCAGGGCGGCTGGAAAGTTTATACCCTTCCGGTGGCACCGTAGGGGTATAAACTTTCCAGCCGCCCATGGGCAGATGCCCCCGACGGCGGAAAGTTTATTTCATACCGTTCTTCGCTCGCTGAAGGACGGGAGGCGTTTTTGGCCAATTTCGGCCTCGGGGGGCCCCTGCCGGGCCTCAGCACCGTCAACAAAACGACTCGGGATGAAACACCGGTCCCGGGGAGAGGGTCGGGACTTCCAGGGAACCCCGCATTGGAAAAAATCCGGACGTCGCATGCCTGGGGCTGGCTCTTTCCCCCGCAGCTCGTCATGACGTCGGCGGCCGCCCACTCCCCTCCCCTCCCCCGGTGTATACCTGAGGCGGGATAGACACTGCGCCGCTGGACCCTCGAGAGCGGCGGAGTCGCCTTGGGGACTGTGCCAACCGTCAATGTTGTCAGCCCCCTCTCAGGGGATGCTGCTCCTGCCTTTCGTCGGGGAAACGTAAGACTCGAGTAGGCCGGAACTCGGGTCTGCCCTTTTTTTTGACGAGCGCGTCCTGGATTTTGACGGTCCCGTTTTCGTGGGATGTTTGCAGCGGGAGCTCGCGTCAAATTTCAGATTGAGTCTCGCCATTTTTATGATGGCCCCCTTCAGGCCAACCCGAGTCCCCCGTACCGAGTCTTACGTTTCCCTGATTTCGGTACGAGCATCGGCTCCGGCGGCTCCAAAGCAGCACACCACATGTGGTGTGCGGCCTCGCCGTGCAGGAAGGGGTGTGGGGGGGCCCGAGTCAGGCGGGCCTCGAGAGGATTCTCTCCCCGTCCTGGGGGCTCTCCCCGGCGCCCTCCACGGGGTGCCGGGCTCACTTCGGTGCCGTTTTGATGAGTCTCGCCACAGCGGGGATGGGTCCCCGGAGGGCTTGACGACTTCTCGCCAATCGACTTGTGCGGATCGAACGAGATAAACCCAGGTACATGACGATAAACCCAGGTAAATGCAAATAAAGCAAGGTAAATCCGGGTAAATCCAAATCTATCCAGAGATCTCCAGGGAAAGTTGGGACAAATGGCGGCCGCTCAAGCGCGAGTCGGAGGACGGCAGAAGTCGTTGACGGAAACGGGTCCTGTGTTTTCTCGCTGTTCTGGGGCTCTCCCTGGGCCCTGGGGTTCTTGTCGAAGCTGGTCCTTGGTAAGCGGCAATTCCTGGTGGAAGAGCTGGCCCTGGTGGAAAGCCTCGGGATCCAGGGCCCGAGTTCCTCCGGGCCCGCTCCCTGGATGGAACCCTGCTGCTGCTCTCCCGCACCTCGGGGCCCTCCGCAGCCCGCCGGCGGCAGGCTCGGGATGCCGCGGCCGGCGTCTGGGCGGGCGCGCCGGGCCTGGCCAGGTCCGTGGCCCCTGGAGAGTCTATTTTGTCGACCCTCTGGGCCACATCACGCGCCTTATGCCCCCCCCTCGCCCCGCCGTTTCCCCCCCATCCCAAAGCGTAGCGCCCCCCCCCATGACTGCGCCCCTGGCACTGCCGCTGTGCGTCCGGCACCACGCCCGACGCGTCCCTCGCCCACTCGGAGCGCCGCCGCCGTCGAATGCGTGCGCTCCCGCGCGCCCGCGTGGAGAGACCCCTGCGGGGTTGGCTCCCGAGGCAGCGCCGCGCTCGCAGGTCCAGTCTAAGGCTCTGGGCCGAGGCGCAGGCAGGAGCCCGAGGCGCCGCGCGAGGCCGGGGTGCAGCGCAGGCGAGGGCCAGGGGGCGCTCGGGACCGCGGGTCCGCGCACGGCCCGAGGCAGCCGAGAGAGAGGGGGGTCGGCGGTCTGCGGCCGGCTGTACAGTCGGCCGGGATGAGTATCGGGGGCGGAAAAGAGGGGGGTGATGACCAGGGGGGGGGTGGATATCATGGCGGGGGCCATGATATTTCCCCAGATTTCATGGCGCCTCTTCTTACTGTCTTTCATTACGTCCCTGGCCCCCCAGCTGGGCCGCGCACATGCCGCCAGTCATGATTTGCACCCCCCCCTCTTGGACACCCCCCTCTTGTCCGCTCCCGATAGTAGGTCGACCCTGCCACATCAAGGGTACCCTCGTGTCCTGTGTCTCGCGACCCGTGCCTCCTGCATTTCTGTGGCAGCGTGGCCCTCGGAAGGGTCTTGTGTCCTCTCGCGTGTCTCGTCCAATCACGTCCGACTGTATGTTGAGCTGCCCGGGCTCCGCGGCGCGGGACTTCGTGGGACGTGGCGCGGCTTCGGCGGAGCCCAGCTCCTTCACATCTGCGGCGCTGGTTCGTCGGTGCCGCCGGCTCGTTCATGTGCTCCTCCTGCCTCATCCCCCTCCTCCTCCTCCTCCTCCTCCTCCTCCTCCTGCCTCCTCCTTCTCCTCCTTCTCCTCTTCTTCGCCCTCCTTGTTTT